CTGTGAAGACTGCGAAAGAACTGCCGAGTTTGTAAGAGTTTTGTTTTGAATTCTTATCGGAGATTTATGTTTATGTTATTTTCTGGGCTCGAAGCCAGTTTGAACTGAAAACTGATAAAGTAAAGCCTTCCTTTTAAGTTTGTCTGTGTTTGTTAACAAGCCTGCAAGGGGGGATAGGAACATTAAAGCATACTGGCTGGGGAATTCTGGGAGTAGAAGTCCACCCATCTTAAAGCATGCTGGCTGGGGAATTCTGGGAGTTGAAGTCCACCCATCTTAAAGCCTGCTGGCTGGGGGATTCTGGGAGTTGGAGTCCACCCATCTTAAAGCATGCTGGCTGGGGACTTCTGGGAGTTGAAGTCCACCCATCTTAAAGCAGGCTGGCTGGGGAATTCTGGGAGTTGGAGTTCACCCATCTTAAAGCAGGCTGGCTGGAGGAATTCTGGGAGTTGAAGTCCACTCATCTTAAAGCATGCTGGCTGGGGAATTCTGGGAGTAGAAGTCCACCCATCTTAAACACCCATCTGTTGTTGGTCTCACATTTTCCTCTGCAAAACGTTCAGCAGTGATCATACTGAACACACACTTGCTGTACAAATAACTACCCAGCTAATTTTGTTTCCAACTTTTACAGGGGAATGTTGGTTTATCTGGCAAGCCAGGCCAAAAGGTGAGCCTCTGGGAATAATTAGTGCACCCTGAAAATGCCTTGAACTTTAAGGGTGTCTTGGGGCATCATTAGCATTTTAGAAAACTTCAGATATCCATTACATTGTCCTGTTCTTCTTCCTAAGCCATCTCCCTTATTTTAATTGATTTAAACACTAATTTCAGTTTCCCCAAATGATCGGAGAGAGGCCTACAGGGAGCCAAAACAACCATCCCACCTTATTTAGGTTATTTAGTTCAAATTGTGGCTCAGAGTCTGTGTGTTTGGAACCAATTCATAGCACCAGAAATATCATGGATCAATTCTTCATGGCAGCCGGGATTCCAGAAGAAAGGGAGGGAGGCACGAAGGGAGGAAGGGAAGGAAAAGAGGGAGGGAGGGAGGGCCTTGGTGGCGCAGTGGTTGGAATGCAGTATTTCAGGCTAATTCTGCCAACTGCCAGGAGTTCGATCCTGACCAGCTCAAAGTTTAAGGAAGCTCAAGGGAGTAAGGAAAAAGGAAGGAAGAGGAAAGGAGAGAGGGAGGGAGGAGAGGAAAAGAGGAAGGAAGGAAGGAAGGTGAGGAGAGGAGAGGAGGAAAAGAGGAAGAAGGAAAAAAGAAAAAGGAGAAAGGAAAGAGGGAGGCAGGGAGAGAGGAAGGGAAGGAAAAGAGGAAGGAGGAAGGAAAAGGAAAAGAAAGAAGGACAGGAGCAGGAAGGAAGGAGAGGAAAAGAGGGAGGAAGGAAGGAAAGAAGGAAAAGAAAGTGGGAGAGAGGCAGGAAGGCAGGAAAAGAGGGAGGGAGGGAAAGAAAGAAAATGAAAGATGGAAGAAGGCAGGAAGGGTCGAAGAGGGAAAGAGGGAGGGAAGAAGGAAGGAAGGAAAGAAGGAAGGAGGAGAGGGAAAGAAGGAAGATTGACAGTTGCCTTTCACAGTGCAGAAGTGAAATTTTGGAACGTTGAATTTTTGAAACTGAAACACACTTTGAATTCCAGGGAGAAGAAGGAAAGAAAGGAGAACCTGGAATCCAGGTAAGTTGTTTTAAGACTCTTTTTTTTTCCTTTATTCAAAAATTGCAAATCAATATAGCCCGGGATCCTTACCATTCTTGACAGCAAAGCTATGAACCAGCCGAGAAGGACCCATAACACAGAACAGACCAGCATCCCGAGATGGATATGGACCCTTAAACTAAGCCATTTGGGTTCTGTCCCGCAGAAGATAGCTCAGAGAGGAACCTAGACTTTCAAAACTGGGTCACTTTTCCTTGTTCCAATAATTCTTGAGAAGGAGAAAAGAAAGGAGGGAAGGAAGGAAGGAGGGAAGGAAGGAGGGAAGGAAGGAAGGAGGGAAGGAGGGAAGGAAGGAGGGAAGGAGGGAAGGAGAGAAGGAGGGAAGGAGAGAGGGAGGGAAGGGGAAGGAAGGAGGGAAGGAAGGAGGGAAGGAAGGAAGGAGGGAAGGAGGGAAGGAAGGAGGGAAGGAGGGAAGGAGAGAAGGAGGGAAGGAGAGAGGGAGGGAAGGGGAAGGAAGGAGGGAAGGAAGGAGGGAAGGAAGGAAGGAGGGAAGGAGGGAAGGAAGGAGGGAAGGAGGGAAGGAGAGAAGGAGGGAAGGAGAGAGGGAGGGAAGGGGAAGGAAGGAGGGAAGGAAGGAGGGAAGGAAGGAAGGAGGGAGGGAGGGAAGGAAGGAGGGAAGGAGGGAAGGAGAGAAGGAGGGAAGGAGAGAGGGAGGGAAGGGGA